AATTTGTGGCGTGGGATTCATGGCTGGTTGTGACCTTTGAATTGGTTGCTGCTGTAAGTTTGTTACCTGAGAATATGTTATTTCATTTCTGACAGTAGAAAAAGCGTTTATGGATCTTTTCTGCCTCGTAATTATTTTAGGTTTAGTGGTGTTATTCTTGCTTATCTGAAAGGTTTTAGCTATCTCACATTCTCTGTAGTTAGCAGGATGTTCCATTAGGCAGTTTATACATTTTGGTTGTTGTTCTAAACTTTTTACACAATCCTTCGTATGATGTTTTCCTACGTACTTTACGCATCTTGATTCTCTTTTGCAAAAGTTATGCGTATGTCCAAATAGCTGGCAGTTTTTGCATTGCGGAACTAGTTTTGACTTTTTTATGGTTTCTATTATATTTCTTAGATTAAGTATTGCTTTGATTTCGTAGATTGTCTTAATGTCTTCAATATTTTCGAATGATAGCATGAATAGCGGCAATGGTTTTTTATTTAGTTTACGGCTGTTATCCTCGGTTAATTCTATTTCCTTCTTTATTATATTGACAGCTTCTTTACATTTTAATCCTTGACTTTGCAAGTCTTCAACAATATCTTCTGGTTTAGATGTAGATGGTAGACCTCTAACCATTACTTTAATGTCTCTGTTCTGTTTAATTTCATAGGAATGCCAATTTATTTCTTTGGCATTCAAGGTTGATATGACAGTTTTAAAGTCTTCTTCTTGTTTAGTATTAATTTTAAACTGGTTATTGCTTAGAGCTGTGGCTTGAAAGGAAATATTATTTTCTGATAGTGTATGGCGCAATTCTTCATACTTATTGATGCTGTTTGCTATTATCAGGGGGAAATTTCACTGTTTTTTCGACTATTTCTTTCTCTTGTTGTTGATTTTTGCTACCTCCAGGTTGGACAGAAAAGGTTTCTGGAGAGGAGTTGGCTTTTCGTTTTTTCTTCTATTGTTTCTGCTTTCCGCTGTTATCCATTCTACTTCTTTGTTAATTTGATCGCCGATTTCTTTAGCCAGTTCTTCTTCATCAGTGTTATAATTCGTTGGAATTTTAGTTTTTTCCTTGTTTAAAATATTAATTTGTTTTTGCATATTTTTCATATTGTTTTGCATTTGTTGCAATACACTTTCTAATTGCTGTTTTTCAGCTTTTTCCTGTATCCAAGCATTGTACAATGCCTGTTTATTCTGACTTCTAGCTTGATTTTCATACCTGATATTGTTGGGCTAGGAGATTTTCTCTCACTTGCATTGTTTCCATATTATTTTTTTGAGTTACCTGAAGCAGGTCATGTTTTTTTGCTCCAAAAGTACTTTGGCAGGTGTCGATTCTGTTTTATTATTTTTTTTTACACATTGTAAAACTATTTTTCATGTCACATTATTATTTTTATTTTTGTTCTTAAACATTACGTTTAGCAATCATTGTTGATTTTTTAAACAGTCGCGGTTAAAAAATATTTACACTACATACACAAACGAAACTGACCTAGTTACGGAGTAATGTTAATAAACATTCATCCTTACCTATCGACATTCGAATATAAACTATAGGTTAGATGTGTCAAATTATCCCGCTATAATTTGCCCAAATCGGCCAGCAGTGCTGCATTTCCGGTGTCCTTGATGGAACGGATTTTTAGTATGTCAAATATAGCCTATATCCTATCCAGCAAAATAATACAGATCAGTGCCTGATACCGATGATACATTTCATGAAGAGGGGTTTAAGATTATATTTGGATAAACTACTTTAAAGGTGTTATAAGGAATTATAGCTATGGCAGCTCCACAATCAATTTTCACTAGTAATACCACTAGAGGTCAAAAAATTTCCTGATATTAATTTGACCTCGCGTGGTATTCGGTAAGAAAATTCCACGCCGAATTATGGTTGAAAATTAAATATTTTTAAAATTTATTTTTCGTTTCTCAACAATGCAAATTATTTTCTCCAAGTCACCAGTGAAACATAAAAGGTGTTGTCGCCTTGATTGTTGAGTTGTCATGGTAACTAAGTGAGACCCTAACCTCGAATATAATTTCAGTTTTGAAGTTGTCAAGCGGCCCGACGTAAAAAAATGTTTCGCTGCAATTATTTAGGCCTTCAAATTGCTTATTTCTACTCATTGTAGTTGCATGGGAATACCATTTGAAAATAGAAAATAGTATATTCTTTAATTTTACGTAAGTTTTGAATAACTACAAGTGGTAGAAAATTGTTTTTCTGCGTTTTTATTAACATGCGTTATGAGCGCTTTAAAATGGTATGAAATTCATAACCAGCGTCAGCAAGCATCAATCGTAGGAGGCTGTAATCATTGTATTTTGACAGTTCAAAACATTAAATAACTCGCGTTTTGTTGCGATAAAGAATATTGCACAGCAAGTAAAACCAACAAAATTACCTATTTGTTTAAAAATGAATCGATTTGAAAATCATACGCTATGCAAAATATGCGTGAAATTGTCTGATGTAATGATCAATCATTGCACCATGACTTAACTCGGATTAATAGAGGATTGTGGCTCCAACTTGAAAAACGAAAATTTGTTCCGAATTGTCCACGAATATTTGCACCTAAACTACGCAAAATTCAAAGTGCTGAATGGGAAAAAGGTGAATAAATTAGTGTCTATATATTATATATATTTTATTAGACATAGACACATAATTCAAAGCATCCAAAGTCCTGCATTTTCGCCATTAAAAAGAAAAGAAGTGGCCGAAGAATAGAGAAAACACCTTAGCATTGTAACTAAAATGTATCAAAACTAAACCTATTATGTGAACAAATAAAAACCAGTCTGTCAAAAATGGTCTGTTATTGTAAACGTCAAAAAATTTCCAGTATAATTCGCTGTTGGGTACCCCACGAGAAAAAAAATTCCACTAAAATACCTCCGTTGCCATGGTGATCTGTCAAAAACACGTATTTTGATTGGTTCAAAATTACAGGTGTGGAATTTTCATTTAAAGTACTTTACCTTCTATTTCTAATGAGACTAACTCTAGTTTATTAATGAGGTTACCACCTATATTTAAATTTACTTCAAACACGTTTACAATATTTGACATACTTTTGTTTATTCTATTAGACTTGACATAGTTACTATTTGCAATATTTGACTTGACTACGTTTTCTAAAATTCAAGACTCTGTATTTAATTTGACATAAAATTCGCATTTAACTTTACAATCTTCTTTTCATCAAATTTGTTAGCAATTGACTGGACCAAAACTAACACAGGCCTATTGTTGCGTTTGACTGACTTTACATTTCTGGCTAAATTTGACTTTTTAGTATTTACTTGACTATATTTATTGTGTTCGCTCTTACATTTTGAATTATATTAGACTCTTCATCTAAGACTTTGAAAAACCTTAACTTTTTATTACAAACCTGGCTTTCTTTAACACTCCCTACCAAATATTGTTGACTTATTATTAAAATACCATTGGTATTTGGTAAATTCTTGTTTCTCCAAATAAGTCCTCTAAGGTATCTTCTTCTTAATATACCTGTAACTCCTGAGCAACCTCTTCAACATGTTGTGCACGTGTGGTATTTGTTCTACAATTTGGGGCTGTGTGTCTCTGTCGATTGCAGGACTGTGGATTATGTAATCGTCCACATCTGTAACACGTGCTACCATATGTGTTTTTCTTTTACCCTAAGACTGCAGACTACTGCTAATTCTGTCTTGATTTCTGGTAAATGGAGCTGACCAATCCCTGCTCGACTGAGACCCCCTTCTTGTCTAATTGCATGCTCTACGATCCTTGTATTGGTTAATAAAATTGATAGTTGGATTGGAGTAAGGCTCACTTCCGCTTAAAAGTGTTTCAGACTGCTTCTTTATTGCCTCCTCCTAAATAACGACTTCTTTAACTCTATTATTAGTTAGCTGCGGTTCAGATAGAAGTTTCCTTTTAACACTTTCATTTGTTATACCACAAATAAGCCTATCTTTGCAATTTTCATTTATATTATTACCAAGGTTACACTTCACAGCAAGTTCTTGTATTGCCAGGATATAGTCTACTATCTTTTCTTCTGATTTGTATGTTTGTTTCTGTTAGGCTAGGTGGGTCATATTTATTTAGTAGAACTGTCTTTAATTCGTCAGTTGTTTTTTCCTTGGGTCTGCTTGGAAGACAGAATAATTTTTTTTTACTATCTCGCTTTCTTTATTTAATTTCAACTCGCAGAATATTTCAAAGCGTTCATACCATGATGCAAATGTTTCGATTTCATTATCAAATGCTTCCAATGCTTCATCATCTGATATGTTGCTTCTGTTTTATGTGAGTTCTTTTTTCCTGTCGCCAAAATTATGTTTTATTTTGTTATTTTCTGGATGACTTCCGAATTATATATTTAAAGACAAGACGGCTTTAATTCATTTATTCTCTAGCCTAGCCCCGTTACAATCTATCCCGAGTATGACGCTTGATATGACATGTGACGTGACACAACACTCACGTTCGTTTGTTTTCACAATAAAGGTGTGTTAACAATACACTACAACTTTTGTATGACGTCAATACCATTGGCTAGACGTATGCCAGAATGTTTGCTAAAATAATTTTCCATATATGGAGTTCTAGATTCCTTTTTGGGAATTACTTGGGAATTAGGTTTTTAATTTAAACTTTAAAAATTTGATGTGATAACAAAGCTTTCGATCCCAAATTCAGTGTCCTTCTTGAGTGAGTTTTATTGGGTAGTTTTCCTTATTTAATAATATGCAAGATTTTTTTAAATTATTATTATTATAAATCTTTTTGTAATTTTTTACTCCATTATTTTAAAACAATTTTCACAAATTGAATTTAACATTGGTCAGTAGTATTGCCAATTTTCTGAATTGTTTTTTTTTCTTTCAAGCCCTTATCAAGTTACACAAAGTTTGTTTTTGAAAAAGTTTTTCGTGTGCAGTTATTTTTTATGAAATAATAATATTAAGAAACAAAATATATTTATACTCACCGAAAGATCTGCTGTGGCGAAATCTATGAAACACAGCTCTGACTCCTCTCCGGCCAACAGGACGGATACAGACTTCTCGCCGCTTTCATCGTCTGCAAAAAAAAGAGACGGGAAATAAATGTTTCGGCTGAGCAATCTAGTAGAAAATTGGAAATTGAATTTTCCTTTTCCGATAAAAGTTTTCATTACAGTTGTAAGTTGAGGTTAATCGATTTGTAGGTTGCATTCGAACGGGAATAAGTCCTTTTCTTTGTTTCTGTAGATGATGGGTTTCGGGACAAGGAATTTGGATTATGAGGATATATAGCGGTGATATTTTTTTATTTTATTGAAGACATAGTTCGTAATTTTTTAACCATAGCTAACTTGTAGTCCAAGATTATATGTCAGAAATTAAATGGAAATTCAGATTCATTCAAATTTTCTAAACTGTTATTGAAGAAATTGGGCTTGTTTGGATTTATTCCTTAATCTATAAATTGCGAGAATGATAATTACAACTTATTTTATTAATTTTTGATGCCAATTTAACACCAATGTTTGAACAATATTCATTAAAAGAATCAGCTATATCAGAAGGTTTAGTAACTTCTAAACCGTTTTCTACCACAATTTTTTGTATCAGATCGTTTTTAGTTTTATAATTATTTGTGTAATCATTAACTACTTTCCAAAGATGTTTGGGAGATTTTTGATCTTTTTAAAATACGTACTTTTTGCCTTTTTGTATCTGTTTATTTAAGATATTTCTGTATAATATATATTCATTTTTTATATTTTCATTACCGGGATTAGATAAATGCCTACGAAATAATCAGTCTCTATTTTTGATAGATGTTAGTAAACCTACTCATTATAATCTTTATTATTGCCTTTAACAAATATATGATCCAGACATGGAGCAGATTTATCTGTAATTCTTGTATATTTATTAATTAGTGAAATGAATCCTCTTTCGTATAAAACATTTAAATAAAAATCTCAATATAAGAACCGGTACAATTTAGTTAACTTGCTCCACCATAAAAAAGATTTTAAAATACCAGCCGAATGGCATTTCCATGCAACTTCTCATGGGAAAGGTCCAAGTGATGGGTTGGGTGGACTTATCAAGCGTTTACTTACCCGAGCTAACCTCCAAAAAGAAGCTGATCAACAACTACAAACTCCTAAAGGAATGTGTAAATGGGGCCAAGATAATCTTCCAGGAGTATATTGTCGTTTCGTTTCCAACAATAAAATTCAGCTGGCCAAAAAAAACTCAGTAAAAGATTTAAAGATGCTTTACCTGTTCAAGGAATACGTAGCTGTCATACTGCTATTCCTATTTCAAGGGATGTGATAAAAATGAAAAATTTATCATCATCACGAGAAGGAAAATATTTTCGCTTAAAAAACACTGATATTTTTGATATCATCGATGAATCACCAATGAAAACCAGGTAGAAAAATCAGAATTTCGAGTTTTTTTACTTTATGGCAATTAATCTTTTATTTCAAAATTAATATCATTTTTTTCTTTTAAGATTGAGAAAAAGGACTGAGACATCGACCTCAGAAAAGGGGGTGACCAAAAAACGTCGTACCAAATGAACTGCAGCAAACCCTGAAAGGACAAAAGGAATTGAAATCTTAAAAATCGAATACGTCCTTTATGCTTTTAATCCTTTCATTTGATCACGGAAGCCTTGAATGTTAAACAGTATTCTAAATAAACAGATAATTACATACAATTTTGAGATATTTTTGTTTTTACATCCCATTAATATAAGAAAAATATTTTAGACCTCAAATTTCGGTAATCATGTGGTAGAATAATAATATTCAACAAAAAAAGTTAAAAAAATAGAAACAACTATTTTGCCAAAATTCAAAAATTCATATCTTTGAAACAAAAAAGAATACCCCTCTGAGAATTTCAGAATTTCTTCAGATATGTTAGAGGTATGATACAAAAAATTTTCAGGCCAACAATTTTCCCGCGATGATTAGAGGACATGTGCTATATATGGAATATGTTCCTTACATGGAATACCCTAAAATTTAATAAACCAAGAGCGGCAACACCGCTATAACATCACCAATACCATGTTACGCCAAGACGAGAGTGCTGGCAGTCGTTTATGAACCGTTTAACGTAACTGTTATTTCGCAGTTCGATCGGCATCGTAAATTATTTAAGGTATTTATTGGAAATTTTGATATACCCAGTTAGAATAAACACAGTAATATCCTATTCTATCTTGTATGTTTATATAACTTTAGCTTAGGTTTCTTATATTGAAATCTAAGATTAGCGTATTACCACGTAACTTTGGTAAACGAAAAGAAAAATGGCCAGGTGTACTTTATATGGAATAGCACGCTGTTCCTATGTTAAAATATTCCATATTAGGAACATTTCGCTTTTTTTTATAGAATTTCATGAGAAAACTGGAAAAGCTTTCTGTTAAAATAATCCAAATATTAATTCCTAGCCTTCTTTACAGAAAAATATCATGAGTCGTAAAGAATGGAGGAAACAAGACATGGTTTGTGCAATCGAAGCTGTGCGGAGTCGCGAGATGGGGTACAAAAAAGCCGCAGATACATTTAATGTTCCACGCATGACATTATTCCGTCTTTCAACTAAGTCAAATGCAACACCAGCCCAGGCTGTTGAAACAAAATTAGGAAGGTCCGCGGTCTTACCACAAAAGTTAGAAAATCAGTTGATAGAGTATCTGATTTTGATGGAAAAAAAGTTTTATGGATTAACACGAAGTGATGTTAAAAGGATGGCATATCAGCTGGCTACCTTAAATAGATTACCATTTTCCAAAAATAATGAAAGCGCTGGAAGAAAATGGATGAATTTATTCCTAAAGCGACACAAAGACAGAATTTCTGTCAGGAAGCCAACTGGGACGTCCATCCATAGAGCCAAAGGCTTTAATAAAGAAAGCGTGACCCTCTTTTTTGATATTTTGGAGACAGCATTTGAAAATCACAAATATCCAGCTGACAGAGTATTTAACGTGGACGAGACCGGCTTATCTATTGTTCAGTCGAAAGTCCAATATGTTCTGGCGCTTAGGGGCACGAAGCAGGTAGGAGCTTTAACATCTGCGGAAAGAGGTTCCTTAGTTACGGCAGTTTTGTGTATGAGTACTGGAGGAAGTTTTGTTCCCCCTTTTCTAATCTTCCCCAGAAAAAATACCAATGTTCTACTGGGAAAGGGTGCTCCTCCTGGGACAAAAATTGTTTGTCATCCAAGCTGGTGAATTCAAACCAACATTTTTACTCAGTGGTTTCTACATTTTATTGAAAAGGTGAAACCATCACAGAACGATCCTGTGTTACTAGTTTTGGACGGACACCATACGCATTGCCGCAATTTGGAAATGATAAAGTTGGCAAGGCATAATTTTGTTGAAATAGTGTGCTTGCCCCCTCATTCTACACACCACATGCAACCTTTAGATAAAACGTTAATGGGACCTTTGAAAGCCCATTATAGTGAGGAGTTGAGATTATTTTTGAGATCGAATCAAAGGGCAGTCACACATTTTGACATAGCTGAACTATTTGGAAAGGCGTATCTAAAGGTGCAAACTGGGGCAATTGCCGTTAACGGTTTTTAAAAAACAGGAATATTTCCCCCAAATCGTCATGTCTTCACAGACAGCGATTTCCTTGCTGCAGCACAAGAAAATATTGAGGAAGGGGAAGCCACAGCAGACAAAAATATTGCTGAAAATACTGTAGCAGCAAGGGAATTTATTGGACCCGAAAATATTTCACCGGTGCCAACTTTTAAAGAAAAGAAAGGGCCTCGAAGAGGAAGGGCACCTGGAAAGGCAGCAATTATAACCTCATCTCCATATAAAGATGAGTTAGAAACTTCAATAAATGCAGTCTCTTCAAAAGAAGCTAAAACAATGAAGCGTAAAGTATTAGCGGAATTATCAGTTGACCTAAATCGATCATCCTGTAGTAACATCCATTTGCGCAAAACCAGTGCTTCAAAGAAGAAGGCGATTATTCAAGATTCTACTTCAGAATCAGAGTCCGCGAGTTTCAAAGACAATTCTTCTGAGGATGATGACATAGAGGACATTGGAGCAGACAAACCACAGGAAGATGACGCTACTTGTTTCTATTGCAATGGAAAGTTTTTGGATGATAGAAAAGGGGAGAAGTGGATAGAATGCGTTGTCTGCAAAGAGTGGTGCCATATCGATTGTTCGGGATGTGAAACTGATATTTTCATTTGTGAATTTTGTAAAGAACATTAGTTTGTTTTGCCAATATGCATTTCATTAAAAAATACATTACTTTTATTTTATTTTTTATAGGTAGGTTTACTTTTACTTGTTCAAGGTCTAAACTAAATTAAACTTCGTTTCTTAAAGTAATTCATATATGTTTAATAAAGTTAAAAAAAGGTTTTGAAATTTATATTGTTTTATTCTTACCCTATTCCATATTATGTACATATTCCACATTAGGTACAAAATTCCCTTTTTTCAAAGATTAGTTTTTGAGGATGCCGGTATACAAATTTTCTCATTTCTAATATCAAAACCCGATAAATAAAATACTAATGTATGTTTATGAATAAAAGTAGAAACTTCTTTAAAAAAAAAACAAAAAATACAAGGCAAAAACAAAATGGTATTCCATATTTGGTACTTCTCCTCTACTTTTCACGATTTTGAATATTTCAAAGTTTTTTAATTTTGAAAATTTCCAAATTTTTTTTTCAAAAAATTTTTTTTCTCATACTTCTATGTGTCTTCTGAAAATGCACCAGAGTTTTTTTTTTTAATATTCAGTAGTTTCTGAAATATTAAATAACTAAACTCATAAAATCGGAAAAACAGTAAAAATTTTAATTTTGAATATCTCTTAGGAAAATTTTTTTTAAATTTTTTCCTTTGACAGAACTTCGTTTTATGATGAGACAAAACTCTCCACCAAAATTCATCCGAATCGGTGGGGATCGCGTCCAACTATTTGTCGATTTGACATGGAATGACCCGTATAACTTAAATTTATTTTCTATGGGACCGTAAGAGATATGCCAATCTCATCATAATAGGATAATATT